TTATATGTCCCCGTTCTGTTTTACCCACATTCTGCCATATATTTCATGTTACAGCAGTCTCGGATGTTGACCCACCACGTTGCACCTTTTAAGATCACTTGAACTGGAGATTTGAAAAAACGCAAAGAAGGTACCAATGTGAGATTTCTAAAGATAGCTACGGCACTCGACCCAAGGTTTAAGAATCTGAAGTGCTTTCCAAATCTGAGGGGGACGGGGTGTGGAGCATGCTTTCAGAAGTCTTAAAAGAACAACACTCAGATGCGGAAACTACAGAACCCAAACCACCAAAAAAGAAAATCAACCTTCTGCTGGTGGTATCTGACTCAGAGGATGAAAATGAACATGCATTGGCCTGTGCTGCTTTGGATTGTTATCAAGCAGAACCCATCATCAGCATGGATGCATGTCCCCGGAAATAGTGGTTGAAGCATGAAAGGACATATGAATCTTTAGCGCATCTGGCACGTAAATATCTTGCGACGCCGGCTACAACAGTGCCATGAGACTGCCTGTTCTCACTTTCAGGTGACACTGCACTTAGTGTCTCTTCTGTCTGTTGCTAGGGCAGCCAACCTTGATATTTTATTGTCTGATTTATTTTGTATCTGCTAGCTTTAAGCTTGTCTTCATTCTTTAACAACATTAATTTTTTATAAATACTCCAATGAGTGCTTCTGCTTTTTCTCTAGGGTATCGAAAACATAAAAAATGAAATTGAAGATTCCACAGAGCCATTGATAGATCCTGTTTATGGCCATGGGAGGTAAGTTGTAAATAGTAATTTTAGTGAGATGTATTTGCAGCTTTTTTTATATTTTCACTAGAATAGCCAGATTATTCAGTAGTCTCCGTAGAGTGGACTAACACACTTTCCCATGTTTCTACGAGTGATTATTCTTTTAGAAATAGTTGCTGAAAAGAATTCAGTTGCTATTCTACAATAGATAAAAGCAACAACTATTGCAGTAATTTTCTACTTGAATTCTTGGAACCCCTTTGTTCACACGGTTCGCTGCGATTTGGAACAAACTCTTCTTTAATACTGAATTTCCAGAGGAAGTATTCAATCTTTAAAACGGCGATAAATTGGCAAACTTGTGTTAAAAATGTTAGTTTTAAACTATTTTGGGTGTCATTGAAATATATATTTAAACTGATTTCAAAGTGTTTAGATAGCAAATGCTTGCTAAGATATGAGTTTTCTCCTTTATTCAGGAATCATTAGATTTGCAGAAATAAATTGCATATCACTTTTTAATAAGGCATATCTTTCCATTACATAGCCAAAGCTTAATTAACCTCTTGTTGACGGGGCATGCAGTTTCTAATGTGTGGGACGGAGATAGAGAATGCTCAGGAATGAGTAAGTTACTTCCAATTTATAATTTTTTGTTTTTACACAGCATAACTGTTTGGTGCTAGAAACTTGAGTTGAACAGTGTTCCTGGTTCAGTAGGTGAGGTGCTATTTCGCTGTCCTTAGCTTCAATGTAGGCATTAAGTGAAAGTAATATTTAATCCTCCCAAAATCTTTGAGGCTGGTATTGATTAATCCTCAAAATCCTTGTGAGGTTGGTGTTTAATCAGACAATATTTATACAGCACTCAGGGATGTAAGGCTATACCTTTATCCTTCAGTTATATTTTCTATGATACATCTCTGCACCCAACTATTCCTGGGGAAGAAAATATCTGAATTCCTAAGTGTACAGGGGGAAGTAAAGGGAGTGCTTGCATGTATCCCAAAACTCTTCAGATTACGTGGGATGGATAGTCACGTGTAATTGCATAGTAAACATATTTTGGTTGGTTACATTCCACAGTATTAGTAAGACAAACTGAGTTATAGCATTGGGAACACAACTATGCTTTTCCCTTTTCCCTCGCTATCTTTGTCCTCTCTTCTTCTTGCACTACACCTTTTTTTTCCTCCTTTGGTCTGTTCACTGTCTTCCTCTGCTATCTTATCACATTTCTTCTTTAGTCAGTCTCTTCAGGGTTGGCAACAGTCAATCTGTAGCTTCCTCATGTAGAAGGCCTGCAGAATTAAAATGCAAGGACTTTGTCTGGTCCTACATGACTCTTTGAAGTTGACTCCATAGGTATTTTCCTACTATGATTACTAGCCAGTTGCCTAAGCTGCTTCTAGGCAGTAACTACCAGTCAGAGCTGGACAGGGTACTCCCTGTATAGCTGATATCCAATGCCTTTTGGACATCCTATGCATTTGCACAGTGGTTGAGGGATACTGGTTATGTCAACAGTTCTATTTACTAGTTGCATGTGTTGCTTGACCCTTTTAATAGGTTAATAATCATTGTAATGACAATTGATATGACGGTGATAAGATTCTTGCCCCAAAATCAGGCTACACAGAACTAAAACCAATAAGTCCAGTATCTTGTTGGGAGCCTCAGGGTGGATGGCAAGGACACTCACACTGAGGGCAAATTAAAACCTTAGAGATCTTTATTAAAATAATGAATAAAGCCAGAAAAGATCCAAGCCATATAAAAAGATAGAGATAATACAGTATTGGGGATATCTATGATATCATTCTTTGCATAAGCTCTTAGATTTGCATACTCGCACCCTTCTTTGAGGACCTGGTGATAAGAGACAAAGGACCAGCCCTGTCTCTGGCATGGCAATGAGTCCAATGGTCCAGGTTCCTGAATGAGTTGAAGGGTCAAATGGGGAAAAGCAGAAAAGCCTAGAAGAAAGAACTAATGCCACATGGTGGGTTGCCCTATTATAGGTAATAACCTAATATCGAACCCACTATGGCCAAATCTAACTTCCTTACCCACATAGTGTTAAAGTGTACTTATTCTATAGGT